ATTGGTGTAAAATATCTTAATACTTTTAGTGTCAGACCTTCTCCCTGTCCAGTCCAGTCACGTTTCTCCAGCCCAGGTGTCACTTCCTCACAAACAGCAATTACTCTGGTTTCATGCTCAAAATCTATGTCAAGATTTTACATCCACATCATCCTTGACCATCATTAATCTCTGGATTCTAAAGACCTGGAATCCACCACCCCCCACCTCCCCCACACACCCACTTTCCTTCCTTGAGTGAAACCAATTAATCTCTGAGCTTCTGATAACTGCGAGCCTAAGTCTCAGAATCATCTTGGTTGCTACTCTCTAATCCTCTCTAATGCTTCAATGTCCATTTTGAGAGGCAGATTCTCAAACAGCCCAAGAATAAACTATCACATCGCTTTAATAAGGTCCTCCGATTTCACGGCAGGGGGATTTATGCTCTTCAATCCGTGTATGATTTGAAGCGGGTGAGAAGTGCTTATTTGAGCTATGATAATATTCTGGTTTCACTGAGCAGAGGGACTGTGTTGGTTTTATGCTCACTGGCCAGAACCAAATGTAAGCCTGAAACAATAATAATCCTTGCCTTTGATATAGTGCCTTATCATATCTCAAAGCGCTTCACAAATATACTGTAAAGTGAATGAACTGCCTGTATATTTTGTAGGTGGAATGCAGCAGCTAATTGTGCACAGCAGTGTCACACAAACCTTTGTGGATTGAGTGCTGAAATTTATTATTTATTGTTTTAAAGGGATGATTTCCCCGGGAAAGCGATCTGCCAATCAACTAACTACCGGGTTCCTACAGAGGTAAACAGAGGCGTGTGGAGCAAGCAAACTTGCCCAACGTTTCGCCCTGCCGGGAATCTATCCCAGGTCCTCTCTCTTGTGAGGCGAGTGCTCTAACCACTGAGCTACAGGTCTCCACACGTGTGTTGATCACACAAGAAAATGTTTGAACGTTCTGAGTGCTGTACTGTGAAGGAGGCGGGGAAAGAGCCATGTTCTCCTTCTTGCTCGTCTGTCAATCCCAGAAGATGCTGAATCTCAGTTACAGTGAGCTTTCAACCTTCAAATCAAATCCTGTCTCTTTCATTCCCTCAATTGTGTGTGTCTTTCGCTCTGGGGGTGAGGGACTGCTGATACCTTTGATGCTTTTCTGTTCAAAGCCAAACTACAAAGCAGAACCATAGCGGGGGATTGGGATGAGCCTCGTGACTTCAGAGCTTAATTTTCATAGGAAAGAATTGTGTTAACATTTTACATGACATTCATATTCAGAGTTAGGCTAGAAGGGTGGGTAAGTGAGTGAGAGAGAGACACACACACAGCTGATTTGACTGAGGTATTTACAACAATGAAACGGATCGACAGGCTTGACGATTCTTCATTTAGCAGAGGAATCTATTACACAGGAAATCAAAAAACAACTGTGCTCCAGGGTAGTATGGGGTTAGCAAAATAGTGAGGTATCAGTAATAAAAGATCTGCCAAAATCTAATAAAGTGGTGGAGCTGAATGGTCTACTCCTATTCCTGTTCGCTTATGTTCCTAAAACAAAGGGAAATAAATGAATAAAAGGCTAAGTGTACAAGGGAGTGGTTTTCCAACCCGCTGCCCTTCAGAGAGAACAGGCTTCTTGTTCCATCGGGTTTCACAGATCAGATGTGTGCTGGTTCCAACCTAACAAGTGAGCTGGAGTTCATTCAATCAGTCTTCACTGGAGTCAGGCCAAGGTTTGAGAAGGCTCCAACACCTCTATTTTACGACTTCCTATTGGAATCAGGATATGTTCACAAGGAGCTTTATTTAGATCTAGATGCCAGAGGCGAAAGTATTGGATTGTAGCCCAGTCACCCCAGTCAATCCGCTAGCTAAACACATGCACGGTGTCTCTCAGGGTTGATGCAAAATCTAAATGATTAATGTCCAAGCTGCTTGTCTGGCTCCTGGGCCAGGCAGGTGTACAGGACTCCAGGGCACTGCTGATTACAGATCAGCCAGCCTGGGTCATCAGCAGGACTTGGCAAGGCAGATTGGTCACAAGGGAAAGGGACTGAGCTCCTATTAACCCTGCAGCCAAAGCCCTAAGGGGTAGGGTGGTCTTTGCTGGACAAGCAACGGGAAAGCTTATCAGACAGTGCTATCAATGGCAAACTTTGTGGTTTTAGCTGGTTAGACTCCAGCAGTTACCCCAACGCACACTCTGGAGTCCCCAAATCTTGGCTCTTGCCAACCTGCATCCAATATTCTCTAGAATTATGAATTCCCGGCACCTCCCTCCCTGTACTGTCACGCACCAGGCTTCGGGACCACATCACTCCCACCCTCGCTCGCCTCCACTGGCTCCCCATCCCCCAGAGGATCGAATTCAAGATCCTCATCTTCAACTACAAGGCCATTCATGGCCTCACTCCCTCCTACCTCTCCGACCTACTTACCTGCCCGTACCCTCCGTTCCTCTGGCTCCGGTCTGCTCCACATCCCCCGCCCCAACCACCCTACCATCGGTGGCCGGGCCTTCAGCCTCTCAGCCCCGAGGCTCTGGAACTCCATCCCCCAGTGCCTTCGCCTTTGCTTCCTCCCTTTCCTCCTTCAAGGCCGGTCTCAAGACCTTTCTCTTCAACAGTGCCTTCAGCTCCCCTCTCGACTCTCTACCCCCTCCTCGCCCCTTCCCTTCCCCTGACCATTTCCCCGCTGCTCGGGTCCTGACCCAACTGTCCAGCGCCTTGGGACGTCCTCCCGACGTGAAAGGCGCTCTATAAATGAAATCTTGTCGTTGTTGTTGTTATAGACCACAAGCCTGGTATATCTAGATGATCAGTGGTGGTTCTGTGCTTTAAACCAACTCAGACAAACAGGTAAAATGGCTTGCGTCTTTGAGGCAGCTGGTAATAATTTAGAACTATTTGAGCTGTCAAGCGCACTCTGGCACACATAGTGCAGCCCCTTTATAATAACAATAATCCTAAAACTGTACAGCACAAAAAGAGGCCATTCGGCCCATCGAGTCTGTGCAGCTCTTTGAATAGAGCAATTAATGTCAATCCCACTCCCCGGCCCTTTCACCATAACCTGCAAACCCGTCCTCCTCAAATACCCGTCCATCACGTTTTTAAAAGTAGTTATCGAATTGGCCTCCACTGCCCTTCCAGGCAATGCGTTCCAGATTCAAACAACTCGCTGCGTGAAGAAATTTCTTCTCACCTCCCCTCGGCTTCTTTTAGATACTGTTTTGAATCTGTGACCTCGAGTCACCGACACACCCACCAGTGGGAACAGTTTTTCCCTTTCTAACCTATCAAATCCCCACATGATTTTGAAGACCTCTATCAGGTCTCCTCGTAACCTTCTCTGCTCCAATGAGAATAATCCCGGCCTCTCCAGCCTTTCCTCATAATCAAGGTCCCTCATTCCTGGTACCATCCTCGTAAATCCCCTCTGTACCCTTTCTAATGCCTTAACATCCTTCCTATAGTGCGGTGCCCAGAACTGGGCACAGTATTCCAACTGAAGCCTAACCAGTGTTTATATGGGTTAATCATCACCTCCTGACTCTTGTACTCTGTGCCCTTATTTATAAAGCCTTGTATCCCATATGCCCTTTTGACAGCGTTATCTCCCTGTCCTGCCACCTTCAAGGATTCGTTTACCTGCATCCCCAGGTCTCGCTGTTCTTTTACCCCCTTAAGATTGTATTACCGCCTATATTGCCCCTCATTCTTTCTACCAAAATGCATTACTTTGCATTTCTCCACATTGAAACTCATCTGCCATGTGTCGCCCATTTTACCATCTGTCTATGTCCTCCTGCAGTCGGCTCCTCTCCTTCTCACTGTTTACCCCCTCCCTAACTTTGTGTCGTCCACAAACTTGGAAATGGTACTTGCTATACCCAAGTCCAGATCATTTATGTATATTAAGAAGAGCAGTGGTCCTAATACCGATCGCTGGGGGACGCCACTGTACACTTCCTTCCAGTCAGAAAAGCAGCCGTTCACCACAACTCTCTGCTTTCTGTCTCCCAGTCAGTTCTGGCTCCGCTGCCACTGTCCCTTTTATACCATGGGCTTCTATCTTTCTTACAAGTCTTTTATGTGGCACTTTGTCAAATGCCTTTTGAAAGTCCGTATAAACTACATCAATCCACCGTCTCCATTACCTCATCGAAAAATTCTATTAGATTTGTTAGACAAGATTTGCCTTTAACAAATCCATGTTGGCTGTCCTTAATTAACCCATATTCTTCTAAGTGAAGATTTATTCTGTCCCGGGTTATAGTCTCCAGGAGTTTCCCCGCTACTGATGTTAGGCTGACTGGCCTGGAGTTCCCAGGTTTGTCCTTCTGTCCCTTTTTGTACAGGGCAGTCCCATTGGCCACTCTCCAGTCCTCGGGCACCACTCTTGTGTCCAACAAAGATTAAAAAATCTTTACATTTGATACAATATTTTTCATGTCAGGATGATATCTCAAAGGAGTTCACAGGGTATAATGTAAAATGTAGTGACTGTGTATTCTGGAAGCAAACTCAGTTTGGGTCATAAACTCACTGCTCAGAGCTTCTGCATTGTGATGTCTTCTCAGAGGAGGGTCCAGCATGGAAGGTTTGACTCACAAGCTCAAAGTATAACACAAGTCAGAGGCACTCTGGAGATGAAAAGCGCTATGTCAAATGCACAGATTATTATTATTATTGTTATTAGACTTAGTATTACTGATCCCATCCTTGTATTGCCCCATCTCTGTTTGTGGGACGCTGCTGTGCGTAATCGGCTGCCGCATTTTGCCCACCAAACATACAATTAATTCTCTTTACAGGATATTCTGTGAAGCGCTTTGAGACATCTCGAAGACGTGATAAGGCCCTATGTCAAATGCAAGGATTATTATTATTACTATTGCACATAAGTTCCTCAGCCCTTTGCGTGTGTGTATATATATATAGATAAAATAGATACAATATAGATAAAATATATATATATATATATATATATATATACAGGGCTTACCTCATGATGAAGTCATGGGAGTCAATCTGGTTGCCATACTGGGATCCGTGCAGATTTCCCGAGTTGCCCACCACTGCACACCGGCGGCAGCGTGAACGGTCCCACGGTTCGTACGGGTTGTCTCCAGGTACCGTCTGGAAGAGTTTGGACAACACTTCCTTTATATCGCTTGGTTTAAACTGGGGCTGAAGCATCTGGGAAAGAACATAAGAACATACGAATTTGCTAAGTGAAAGAAGACCAAGGTCAGTCAAGTTGGCCTGACGGTCGCTTGACATGTCGTGTTTCAAACTGTACAGTGTATCGCCTGATATATATGAGAGGAGAGGAAGGGGTAGAAGGAAAAGACGCAGAGACACATTATAAAAGGAGTGCTCAGCAGCTAAAACCTGGATCGATGCACCTGATCAGCCAATTTAATCCCATTGAGCTATAAACCACTTTCAGTTACCCTTCCACCAAATCATGTGTTCTCCCCAAAGCAGATGTAACGCACAGCACCTCATGGCCAAACAGCCTTGTCCCTCTCCCCCAAGCCACAGGCCAATGGACACCTTGGAGTACGTTAAGGCTGGCATCTAATCAAGGCGTTTGGAGGCTTACATACATTGGAAATAGTTACTGCATCTTACACACAGAGGAAGGCACCATCTTCAGGGTGAGAACACATCTCAGAGTTTAGGTGAGACTCTGAAGAAGTACAAACCTTAAACCCAAAATACACAGTCACTTCACTTTACAGTACTGTGAAGTGCTTTGAGACCGATGTGATAAGGTGCTACATCAAATGCAATGATTATTATTGTTATTATTATTAAAACACTTTATTGAATCCATCTAAACTCCATGTTGTGTTGTTATCCCAAAACACACAATGCTTTACTGGAAACTCAAACGAACACTTCAAAATACATTAGTAAACAATGTAAGGGTAGCAAGGTGCCTGCTGAGAGGGCAATCGCCGAGTTTCATTCCCAAGACTTATTCATTTCCTTTTGATTTATTTCATCTCGTATCAGTCTATCTCCCAGAAACATGGAGGGCAAAAAGTTAGGACGACAGAATGAATAATAAATTGTGTGATGTAATCTGAACTGTCTGAAAACTGAATAAAATCTCAGAATTGCTTCCCCATTGACACAAAACCGTGCACACTCCTCCCTTCTTTGGGGATTTATAACATCAATAACCAAACGCTCCAGTTCTGTGCACTGGAGGTCAATCAATCCTCCCAGATTCCTTATGTTCCTCTAGCTCAGTATAGGGATACTGCCACAGGAAGACCTCACCTCTAGTGACTCACTCACATGCTCATTTTCCTGGGTGAGCCCAGACCGGTGGCTACCAATCTGACGAATATCTCGACAAGGTTTGACCCTGTCCCCACTCAGCACTCACACACATTGCAGCAAAGCCCACTCGGTAGCGACCAGGATTGGGAACTGTAGCTGATTTTCTTCCCCCTCATTGACCCCAGGGACCAATGAGGCAAATCGAGCACCTGATTGTGTCCCTAGCCCACATCAGCTAACCTAGCACAGAGCTAGTTAATTACAATGGGCAGAATAATTTCCCACCCAGTCATTTGTCAGCTCAGCGTTAATCTGGCCGATTTAATAATTCATCATATCTGTTATGTAATGACTGATACGTCCTGGAAATCAACCGCAGAATCTCACTCAAGGTTTCAGTGGTTGTATCTGGCTCATTAATCCTCCAGTGCAGACTTCACCACACACCAATAAGCCTCAAGGCCAGCACTGTCTGTGTGTCCCTGATGCTAGAGAAACAGGCAGAAAGGTCAAACCTTACGCTCCCAACTCCAAGAATACCACACATGTTAAGAGTAAAGTCAAGGCTGTAATCTTTTTGAGATGTCCTTCCGATGTGATAAGGCGCTAAACCAAATATAAGGATTATTCGCTATTTATTACAGCCTCACAATCCTGTCTCCTCCTACACCAATGTGATATTGCAAGCGAGAGACCTGAGTTCAATTCCAGGCAGAGGGCGAAACCTTGGGCAAGTTTCCTTACTCCACACAGAGCCTAATAATAATCCCTCCAAAAAACAAAAACGATAATAAATTGGTCATTTTCAATCTACGACTGTTTGTGGGACATTGCTGTGCGCAATTGGCTGCAGCGTTCGCCCACAAATATACAGTCAATTCACTTTACAGTGTGTTCTGTGAAGCGCTTTGGGAGGTCCTCCCAACGTGAAAAGCGCTATATCAAATGTAAGGATTATTATTATTATTGTGCTGTTCTAATCCCAATTTCCTGTGCAGTTGTTAACGAGGCAATCAATTCAGTGGCTTGTGGTTTGAGCTCGTGCCTCCAGAAAGGAGACCAAGATTGCTCAAGGCCAAGTCCTTCTGAAGTAATCGGATGTTGTTACACTGATGCAATACAGTGGAACTATTCTTGGCTGTGGTTCCTTATATAGTACAAACAAGGGAAGAGCTAACACATACTGTTAGGCCCTACATGTCTTTTTTCCAGTAATTCTCCATTTGAACGGGCAATGTAAACCATTTACGCGGTTGCATGAACCACCTGTGGTGTTTGACAAATGAACACTGGCTCCTTTATCACCAACGCAGCTTGTCCTGATCTCCAGTGACTGCCGTGCTGATAGCAGGGGGGGCACTTACCAAGATTACAGTGTACAAGCACAGCAGGTGACAAAGAGACACATGTATAGGACTCGGCAAGAGAGAACCGGCAGCATTTATCCAGAGTGCTTTGTACATCATTGTACAGGAGCAATCAATGAGCCAGCGAGTGACTGATACACTCACTGTGTGTGCTGGGCGATACATGAGGAGATGGGGATCTAACACGTACTAACACTGGCAACATTTCGATTCTGTCATTAGAAAAGGTTCCTGACCTCGTCAATGACTTCCATAAACAACACTTGCATTTATATAGTGCCCTTCACGCAGGGTAGCACTTTTACAACAACAACAACAAGATTTCATTTATAGAGCGCCTTTCACGTCGGGAGGACGTCCCAAGGCGTTGGACAGTTGGGTCGGGACCCAAGCAGGGGGGAAATGGTCAGGGTGAGGGGAGGGAAGGGAGGGAGCGAGGAGGGGGGAAATGGTCAGGGTGAGGGGAGGGAAGGGAGGGAGTGAGGAGGGGGTAGAGAGTCGAGAGGGGAGCTGAACGCACGGTCAAAGAGGAAGGTCTTGAGACCGGCCTTGAAGGAGGAAAGGGAGGAGGCGGCGAAGACACTGGGGGATGGAGTTCCAGAGCCTCGGGGCTGAGAGGCTGAAGGCCCGGCCACCGATGGTAGGGCGGTTGGGGCGGGGGATGTGGAGCAGACCGGAGCCAGAGGAACGGAGGGTACGGGCAGGTAGGTAGGGGGATAGTAGGTCGGAGAGGTAGGAGGGAGCGAGGCCGTGAATGGCCTTGTAGGTGAGGATGAGGATCTTGAAATCGATCCTCTGGGGGATGGGGAGCAGTGGAGGCGAGCGAGGGCGAGGGTGAGGGTGAGGGCGAGGGTGGGAGTGATGTGGTCGCGGTGTCTGGTGCGGGACAGTACACGAGCTGCAGAGTTCTGAATGACCTGCAGTGTGGAGGGAGGGCCGGGAAGGCCGGCGAGGAGAGAGTTCCCATAGTCCAGCCTTGAGGTGATAAAGGCGTTTAGCACTTAATAGACAAATCATAAGGGACAAGGGTGCCCATTACAAATTGGACTGGGAACCTACACTACACAGGAGTGTTCAGTGCTGGGAAAAGCCACTGTGATCCATCTGATCCACTCAAAATAAAACAGATGATCAATTCTCACCGCTGTACTTTCTCTCATATCTCTCAAACTGATTTACTTGCGGATGATGTCACCAAGAGGGAGATGTTGAAGAGGAGGGGACCAAGGACAGAGCCCTGAGGAACGCCGCACGAGACGGTGGAGGGACTGGAGGAGAAACCGTTTGTGGAGATGATTAGAACTATGCAGGGTTTCAAAATCTGAACCTTTATTCTGCTGTGGAACTGTCTTGAATTTATAAGAGGAAATGTTATAAAGTGAGAGAGGAGCTGGGTGTGGTGGACACTTTGGAGCGGTGTATGAATTGTGTTGATGAAATGAAAATCTCTGTCGGTAGCTTGGAGGTGTTGTGTGTGGAACAACTCAGGAAAGTAGTTATACAGCTCCTGGTAGCTTCAATTCCACAGCACAAGTGTGTCCTAGAGGAGAATGAGGTACGTGGAGCAGGATCTTTCTTTTGCCCAGTCAAGCACATGTGGAAACCCATCACCGTCTTAAGAGCATCCAAACCAAGCTGAGAATTCCATGTATCCCACCTACACATGGAAATCCCAGTGATAAGATAGTTGGAATGGAATGTGCTCTCTCTCTCTCTCCCTCTAGGGACACATCCTGCTTACCTAATTCCGGACCGTATTAGGCGCAGGATGGCAAGAGACAGTTTATATAATAATAATAATCCATGCAATTTGAAGTTCTATCTCATCGTTGAGACTTCTGAAAGCACTTCAAAGTGGGGCAGGGATAAGTAAAAGCAAGTCGAGATGATTAGTACAGATACTTGCTTAACTGGACTAGGAGAAACGACAGTTCAGCCACCAACTTGACCATCGTGGAGTTTATGCCGTGTCCGAACTGGCAAAGGCTGGGACCCACTGACCAAATCAGACTGAGTTCATGCTGATGCTCATTAAGAACCTGCAGTGTATAGAATGCAGAGCACAAACAGCATCATTGTTTGAGGCATTAATAACAGCAGCTCACCAGCAATAAGGCTTAGCACATGCCATTATGTTAACTCAGGTTGCTCATTACACAACCAAGGCTTCCCATTTCCCAGAGGGTAAGACAACAACAAGATTACATTTGTATAGCACCTTTCACGTCGGGAGGACGTCCTAAGGCGCTGGAAAGCGAGCAGCATTTCAGACCCGGTCAGGGGGGAGAAGGGAGGGGAGGTTTAGCTTTATTACTTATTATTTACTTATTAGCTTTGCAGATAGCTAATGCTGGCTGTAGACAGAAGCTGTACCATTGTTTAGGCCAGATGTGGCCAACATTTGGCTCTACACATGCGTAGAATAGTCATGCGGGCCACAAGTCTAGGCGATGCTTGTTCAACCTTAGAAAGCAACAGCGGTATTTGACAAGAAAAATTCATTTCAATTAAAACATGCTTTTTAAAGCACTCAGT